AATGCCTTCTGCAACGCCATGCTAATGTCACACAACACCATCTCAGCATCACCCACAGTGCCCCATCTCACCCATAGACCCCCACCCCAACATTATCTACAACATCACCCCAATATCACCCATAGTTCTCACCCAGCATCCCCATGCCACCATCCCAAGGTCACCTACAATCCCACCCAATGCTACCCATGCCAATGTCACCTGCAGCCCCCACCCAATGTCGTCCATCATCCACAACCCCTACCCTAGTGTTACCCACAGCCCCCACCTTAGCATCACCCACAGAGCTGCCCCATCTCCACCACAGGCCCCACTCCCACTGTCCCAGCACCCCCTCTCATCTTAGAGACCTGACCCCAAAGGAGACCTTGTCAACACTCGGTCTCCGTGCACGGCGAAGGCATGCCTGGCCGCCGCTCGCCAGAGGTGCCCCACTGCACACCACCCTCAGCTGTCATCTTCCAGCCCCCACGTGGGCGGCCCCCGGGTCCTGTTCTCTTGATGTGCCCTCGTTCTCCGCCCCCTCACCTCCTCTCTCTCCTCTCCCAGCCCCCGAGAGTTGCTGTCCACAGAAACCTGCTTTGATCCCCAGAGCTCTCCTTCCAATATATTCACCGTGCCTATATTTCCCCCATTTATCCACCGGCACCTCCAAGGACACATTCACCCTTCACCCCTTATCCCCTGGTTCTCTCATCCCCACCAGCACCCCCATCGGTCACCCCATCAGCCTGTTCCTTCTAGGTCAGTCCGCATGCCTGGCCCAAGTGAGGCAGGAGGTGACGGAAGGGCTAGAATGGGGAGGTGGAGGAAGGGAGGCACTGAGGTTGACGAGGGAGCCCAAGGAGTCAGTGGGGCTCTGAAATCAGGAGGGCTCTGAAGTCAGGGGGGCTCTAGCTATGAGGGCTAGAGATGAGCAGGATGGAGGAAACCAAGCATGGCAGGTGCCCAGCAGGTGCTGGTGAGGGAGGTCAGCTCAGGGGACATGACAGATCAGCTGAGATAGAGCTTCAGGTGGCAAAGGGGAGACGGGAGACATTGGGATGCATGGGAGAGGAGAGGGACAGGGACCCCGTAAAGAGTGGGTGCAGGAAGCATCGGATGGTAGGAGATGGGCTGAGGTGAGTGGAGCAGCCCGGCCCAGGCAGTTGATACCTGAGGAAGCCCAAGAGGGTGGTGGGGGGCGGGTGGGTGCCTACACTCCCCAGGTGGGGCCGTCCTGACAGTTGAGTGGCAGGCTCCGAGTCATCCTGGGCTCCATACCTAGAATTCTCCGGAGTCGACCCTTGTTTTCTTCCTCCAGAGCCTGAAAAGAATGGATGATCCCCCTCGCCGCCTTCCCACAAGCAAAGCTGGAGAAGTCGTGGCAGGGGGCCACGCTGCTGTTCCCCCAGGCTAGGTAGTGAGCCGCCAGGTCCAGACACACGGGGGAGGTACAGGGGCCTGCAGGGCGGAGAGAGAAAGAGGCGAGGGTGCCCCCCAGGGGCCAGAGAAGGGACTGTGGTGAGGCAGTAAGGAGACAGGCCTGGGCAGAGGTGGATGGTGGTGGGGCTCCTGAGGACAGAGTTAGAGTCTGAGAGGTCGGGAGGGGGTCTATGGGGATGGCGACGTGCAGGGCGGGGCTGGGGGCGGGGCGGGGCGGGCGGGATCCCCAGGGGTACTTACGTGGGCCGCAGTTCCCGAAGATGTAGCCCAGAAGCACAGAGAAGCTGAGCAACAGCCCCAGGAGCAGGAGTGTCAGCAGCACCCTCCCCGCTGGTGGCCACCGGCGGCCTCCTGCTGGGGGCAGGCCCTCGAGGGGAGGCCCCTGTGGGGACAGGAAGGTTGTGGGGAGCATGCCTGAAGGAACGCAAGGGCTCCCTGTCCCCCTGAGCCTGCCCTCTGCACCTCTGGGGACACAGAGACAGCGGTGAGTAAGGACTGGCAGGACTGGGTGAAAACATGGTTCTGCTCCAGCCTCGGAGCATGGGGGGTGGGGGGTCACTTACCTCCTGGATAGACCCCATCTCCAGGTCACGTTCAACCTCCTGGGCAGGTTGGAGGAGAGAGAGACGGCTCAGGAAAGATGCATTAAAGGGTCTGTGTCAAACCATGCGACACCTCTCCTGCCCCCACCCCCAACATTTATCTTCACTTCAGATGAGCACCCCTTCCCAGACTCCACTGTTCTATCCTCCAACATTACCTCCTTCCTTCTCCCCTCAAATTCAGGTTCCTCAGCCCCAGCAGGGCAGGGCCCTTCCACACACAGCCCCACACCAGTATCACCCACAACACCACCTTGATATCCCCCAAAACCCCCACCCAACATCCTTCATAATACCAATTCAATATCCCCACAGCCCCCACCACAATATCCCCCCATAATACCAATTCAATA